GCATTCGATCAGTTACGTCAGTCTGGATACGCCTATGGCAGTAATATTGTTAACTAAGTTGATCTAGCCAACACTTAGAGATGAATTTTTGCACGTCAGTTGTTAAAGATAGCTGTGTTTCTTTTTTGTGAATGGGGAGGAAAGGGGAGAAGTTAGTAGGGCGTGCGGGGGGGGGGGAGGGGCTAAATTAATTTCTTTATCCCGACCGAAATTGCGCAAAAAGTGTCATATCACTGAATATTGTTTGTATATATTGTCGGCTCAGTCAAGAATTTTCCGGCGCTTTTTATATATTTGCTTTCTTTCGACATATTTATGGGAAAATGGGGCTCAAATTACAAGTTTACTTAGTTCCTAAAATGCTTGAATCACGTAATATTAGGCCTTTAGGCCTAATACTCACTTAATATCGTATCTTAAACTGTATCTTGAAATATTTTAACAGTTTTTGTAAATTAATGTTCTGTCATGCACATTCTACGTATGTTCAGTTAGGATAAGCTATCTAATCTTAATTCATTGCCGCAAGTTCTGCTATCCTGCTAGAAATGGGATGTTAATAGAGGGGTGTCAATCTAAGTCATGTGGCTTCACAGTGTAGTTAAGGAGGCTCCCTACAGTTGCGTGCGGGATGTTCGCGGGACCAGTACGTGAACTATCCCACGCAACTGCATGATCAAAACAAAACAAAAATTGACCACGCTTTTTTTAAAAATAAAGCTATTTCTGAAAGGTTTCTAATGGAAAAAAGCGTTGAATAATACTTCGTTTTGAGTGCCAAATCACTTGCGAGTCTATACAGCAATTCTACATATGATACGAATATCACTAGACCAAAAAATAGCTACGAAACAATGTTTTTAAATTTTTTTTAAATATACACTGTCAACTGTAAAACATTTGCAAAATTGCATACAAACGTTTAAAAAGTTGTTTACTTCTCAAGAAAACGTTCACGTTTTTAGTCGTGTTTCTACAAGGTTAAAGTGATTATATGTAAACAGAAAAATATTCCAGTTTCATAGCCTAATTGTTCATTTTTAGCAAAAAGTACAAAACCAAACATGAAACAAAAAAACACGTCCACCTGTTAATAGGCTGTTACAGCTCATAGATTGAGTAAACGGCAGGGTTCAATTAGCTTCAACCTTGTTTTCATCGATTTGATCCTTCACAATAATCCTTGGCTGTCCATGGCACTCAAATAAATCGAAAAGTTGACAAAAACAAAACAGTAAAAACAACATTGCCGATCGATTTTGCTGAATGAAAACTCGTTCTGCGCCCGCGTACAATCTTTCACTAGTCAGCGACGCTTTTCAATAGGGGAATTTCTCGAGTTACACGAGGCTATTTTCTAACTTTATTTGCATTTTACTCATTAGTTTCATCGGTGACCTATCTTCAAATTTTGACCACGAATTTATTTTGCGGTAAATTTTATAAATTTCAAATTTTAAAAAAATCTGTAGTGTGGAAATTTCGCAATAAATTTTTCGCTTTTAAAAAAATCACGCACTACAGAATTTTTTTAAACTTTCACCACAGTTGCAGAGCATCATTCCTTATTGATATATGAAATAAAAAAGATAGGTCACCGACATCGTTTTTGAGATAGCGGCACATTTATGGGTTAAATTGGAAGGCTTTATGCTGTCGTCATGTTGCTATGGGAACATTGACATCGTCGAAATCTACTTCGAAATATTCCTTAGGTGACCAATATTGCCACCAAGTCGAAAAGAATTCGCGTTCTGCACGAATAAGCCTGTTTTACGGAATTATTGCTTAAACAAGAATAACTGTAGGGAGCCACCTTAAGGCATAAAATTAAAATGTATTTACATGCCGACCTGAGATAACATATAACTACAAAGGCAAACGCAAGGGTAAATAATATTTGTCTTACCAGACTATAGCTGCCAGTTGAGTTTAAGATTAGTTATTTCAAACTTACAATATAAGTACGTTTAATAAATATACCCATGCATGCAAGAAGCACAGGATTTAATTTTCAATTGTTACTACCTTTCAGATAAAAGGAAACCACAACGGCTATCAAGCATCCACAACGCTCGTTGATATTTATAATGTCAGATATATAAAGATACAATCAACTGGAAACACAGAGTTTTGTCTTAGAATTGAGCTCTGTGGATTAGGTAAGTTATTTTGTATTAGTGGTTGTCTAAAGAAGTTTCAGCATTCACGTTATTGACGGTTATATTAAAAAATTCATGAATAATTAAAAAGCAACAAACAAATCACGACGCAGTATTTAGGTCACATGTGCACACATGTAAACCGCATTAAAGATCAGTAAGTAATGTTAGAGAGATATTTGTGAATATTATGAATACCAATTCAGAAGCAGGGATATTTTTGAAGGTTATCAATACAAATTCAGATTTTAAATGCATGCTAAGGAATCGTGAGATTATCCCAATCACTAGTGAATACTAATAAAGTAAACAAATAAATTCATTTTGCAAGTAGGCCCACGTTAAAATATTCTCAACTGATCTTTATAGGTATTTAACAATGGCTCGCGCTGCGCGCTCACCATTGCAAATGCCCATAAAATCAGCTGCACATATTTTAACTAGTATTTATTTGTTATCACTCTCATCAAAATTTCATATAACATAGTTATAACATTAGGTAAATTTCCTATATTTGCCGTTTTCAACCTTTTTGTCCCTAAGGAGGAAATCCAGGATATTCAAATAACCTTACACAATGTGATCAATAAAGCTGTATAAACTTTCTTAAGTTCCATATAGTTTAATCAGGGTATTTATGACTGCTACATCAGGATTGTTTGGCGACTTTGAAAAATCATTTTTAGTATTTAAATGTTAAAACTAGGTAAGATCAATTCACCTGCTAATATTTGCGTTGGTTTCTGATCTTAGTCCAAAATCCAGCACCTGTATACGATATTCAAGTTACACCGTCAGATACCTCGGCACAAGTGAGATGGAGAATACGTGCTGCACCTGTGAAATCCAGTTACATAACACATTACTGTATTTATCTTGGCCAACGACATCTGCAAACAATAAATCGACATACAAATCAAATGAAATTTAATATTCTTGGACTTAAGCCGTACACCAAGTATACAGTTGGAATTGCGGCTTTAGATGGCTCTTCACAGAGAAGCAGAAAAATCTACAAAAAATTTATAACCAACGAAGCAGGTAAATGAGAAAAAAGTTAGGTGCCTGAGTATGTCTAACTATGTATAGCTTTAAAAGCATTTTTCCAGTCATGTTCGACGTGTTCTGTCTCGCTGCATGTCTTATTAAAGTATTATTAGTCAAGTATTATTTAATTGAAATATTTAAAAGAAAACTTGAGATTTCGAAAAAAAAACCTTTTTGAACTAAACATATCTGAACAAAATGAAGTCGGAGATTGTGAATGTGAGACTTTATGTAATGCACTCTATGATGACCTTTTCTTTGGAATCTGTTTCGGTTATATTTTAGATCGCCATATCATTCATGTTCACCACTTGGACGGCCATATTTGAATTTGAATGTAAAACCCATAGATATCTTATATACACTAGATAGCACATCTCTTTTAGTAAAATTGAAGCCAAAAATATTCCGGCGGTTACCTTCTTTTGAATAGATGGCGGCCATGTTGGAGTTTACCACTCGGTAATAAACACACTTTTTTCCACGACAAATTCTGTCTGCAACAAATAGAATACATTCTTTGCAGTTCATATGCAGATATTAATTGTTTCTTGATAACATAAAGTTACCATCGATTTTCAATTGAGATGCAACATTATTCCATGGTATGTTCTTTTTGTCTGTCTCCTTGTATACGTACACTCTTAGTTTGTATTCCAAAGTATTCGGAAGCTTCGTACGATTTCTATTAATTGACCACCTTCTACTATTGTCCCATCTCTCTCTATATTAGATCTTCTCCAGCGTTCAGATCTTGACTTAGATTAGCCAAACTTTCCTGACTATCATTTAGTAAATTATCCGCCATGTTGAAAATGCAAAACCACCAAAGGTTTGTTTGTTTTAATGTGTTTGATAGCGTTCGAACTTACGCAAAATGATCTGAAAGTATAGGGTTAATGTCTTTATAACTTTAACATGCAGTAAGACAAGATTGTCTAAGAATCATGTAGTAAGGAACTTCTGACGAAAGATTATTTATTATATAAACATAAGTGTTATATAGAGTTTTTGGCCACTGAGAAAAATAGTATTTAAACACACGTAAAAAACGATATTTTTACGTGTGAAAATATCATTTGTTGTAAAACGCATTGCCACGGACGTTTTATTGTTTTCACTAAATTATTTTTGTTTATTTAATAAACAGAAAAAAAAATGGGTGCTTGGAATTACCTGATTTATTTCTCGTGTTGATCACAATATCTCACTCGTTCGCTGCGCTCACTCGTGGGATATCATGTTCAACACTCGAAATAAATCGGCATGGTATTCCCGCGCACCCATGTATTATTCTCTATGTATCACGAATAATGCTATCTTTACTATAACGCAATATTGCTCTCGAAATTTTTAAGTCTTTTAATTATAAAATTAAATTTGGTCCTCGCTTTGTTTGGCAAAGGCTTTTATCAGTAGTGGTTTCTTTTTGAATATCCTCGTCTCTAAATGCCTGATATTTTATGGGACGTGTAAGGCGATAGTGTCCAAGGGGCGTTCAAAAACATTCTGGTTTGGCAATTGACCTTGTAACATCTAAGTCGTGCAGTATTTCATTTTTGGTCGCATTTAAGTGCTTATAAAAAGGATAAATAGAGTTAATAGGCTAAAGCAGCTTACACGTGCCGTTTGAAAATATATTTTAGATTGATTTAAAAGCTTACCCCTCCCTCATATTTATTTTCTATTGGTCCTAATTAGCCTTTCTCACGCCGCCATTTTCGGGGTACTGTAATTTATCGTAAACGATTATAACAATGTGAAAATCAATATTTCGGAACAAACTAACTATTTACAGAGTAAATTTACCATACCCACAAAATTATAAAATGTCGCCGTTACTTGGTGTAACGCTCGCAGGATTGGCAAAAAAGTACCTCAAAAATGGCGGCGTGAGAAAGGCTAATTGGTTTTGATTTTCGACTCAAGACTTGGTTCTGAAACCTGAGCACGAAATGTAAGACTCGTCACGGGTCTTACAATCATACTGTACGTAAGAACCGTACCGGGTTTTACATTTTCATTGCAAGACCTGAAATAGGTCTTGAATTCAAAATTCAAATTCAAGACTTACAGTATACCAAGTCTTGAATTTGCAATTCAAGACTGGTAAAGGCAGGCAATTGTTGCTACAAAACTAAAGCGGTCAAACCCCACATCTCCTTTTTGACTGGACGATGCTGCACGTCCCTGAATCGAGAAACAAAACGACAGCTGTCTACCTCATGGCCCATCAAACTCTACCATTAGGTAAACGTGACCATCGATTTTTATTAAAAGCCCATCAGGGCAACACGATAAAAAAAATACAAAAAACACACAAGTTTTTGTCCAAAGACTTTGCCTAAAACATCATTTGCACACCAAGTAACTCGAAACATGTCCCCAGCTATAAACAAATTTCATTTTCAACCTGTTCGACACATAATACTTAAAATATTGAAGACACGAAATTTTGTTATCACTGTTAAATTGATACGAGTTTCGTTCTTTCCATGCTGCAAACTTTACAACTGAGATAACGTATTTAGTCACTGTTTTTCCTTGAACTAATTTCTCCCAATAGACGAGCCCTTTCTGAAAACTCTGTTATAGACTGGTCAATTCTGTTGAACAAAATGCCATAATTCTTCGACGATTGGACAAGAGAAAGTACGTGCGTGGGTCAAGCTTTCCCTCTATTATTATATCCAGAGCAAGTTGTAGGGTTACGCAATTAATACTGGATCTTCCAACCCCGAATGAACACGTTTCCAAATATCCTTCCAGATCAATCCACAGATGTTTGTATCCCACTTTATTATATTGACATGCTGGTCCAACGGGATGAGTTCATTCCCGCAAAACTCGAAAAACAATGGCGTAAAATTCGAAAGGCGTGTCACAATTGTGCTTACTATTATTGTTGACACCGATAGATCGACCGATATAATATCTTATCAGATCCTTCCAAGCAGCCACAAATGTTTCCTGCTTTAATTTGGAAATCGTACATTTATTTGGAAATAACATTTAATGACGCGATTAACATTCGTTTGATGCCGATCATCGTAATATAGCCGCATAAAATAATGAAACGATGTCAACTTGCCAGATTCATTCAATAAACAGTGATATTATGTGTGAATGATTATCGCAATTCTGCGTCCTCTCAGTCACGAAATACACTGCTGCAGACCCTCTGAATAAAATTATCATTCTTTGTGTTGTTTTTCGAAATATACATCATGCACGTGATTGTTGCCATGGCATGAAAAGTAGGTCAACTTTTAGAATCTCCTTTGACAAATCATATAAAACTTGAATGGTAATAATCATGGCCATACATATTTTTTATTATTTTTGTCTATTTTCGCTAAATACACAAACTGAGACCCAGGCATTAATGTACCTGAGGCCGCGCGCGCATCTGTTCTTTCATTATCCCTACGGAATCAGTGACACAACCACTGACTGTACATGTTTTCAAGGCGGTGACTAGTTTCTTAGATGCATTGTACCTTTCCCTGCATTGAAAGAAGAAACGTGAAGGCTTCTCATTTTTTTCTGATGTTTCTAACACGACCCCGAATTTTAGCCCCGACCAATCTCTGAGAAGCAAGCTCACATAAATCCCACCGAACACGCTGTAGTTGTTCCAAATCATAAGGTGACTGATAGTGTTTCTCCAATAGACGATGGAACATATTCATAAGATGGAGTTGCTTTTCATTTGTTTCCCGCCTGACGGCTTTGCTACACTCAATAATTATATGTTTGATTTCAGGTTCGCCTTCGTTCAGTTCGACCAGAAAGATGTAATCTCAGATAGCAATTTTTCGTTTGAAGAGAGAAACACACCCAGTCTCCAAGTAGGAACGTGATACGTACAGTGACGAAGCCAGCTCAAATGACTTGGTCATGCTAAATGTTTGGAGCGCCGAAAGCGCAAGCCACTCAGGGGGGTTCGGAGGCATGCCCTCCCGCACCCCAGAAAATTAAAAAAATTAAAACTCGAAAATTTTCTTCGATTTAGGCATTGAATTATGCGCCCCAGCTTGCCCGCTAAGAGAGGCAAAACCTTGGGAAATTGACTATATTTTAGCCAAAAATCGACAATTTAATAAAGCATCACACAAAGGTACCTAAAAAGTCATTAAACTACAGGAGGCTAGTGTCAGTAACAGGTGTAAAATAATGAAAATAATGAAGTTACTGTAAAAGATTTGCATAAATTCTTCGCAAGAATGTTAACAGAGAAAGAACAAAAAATATATTATCTATATGAAGTGCTAGGCCTATAAAACCAAAAGCAAACTAGGTCTGTTGATACAGAATTTCATGCAGAATTTCATTCATCCACCGTGCACACAAGTATGTGCTCATAATAAGTAAATTTGAGTACCACCATGTTCTCTTTCACTTTATTCAGTACCTAGTCGATTTCCAAGTAATGTCACTTTCACAACACGCGGTAAAAACAATCTGACAGTATCCTGGAGACATCTTAATAAAAGTTTGCGGAATGGTATACTGAAAGGATATATAGTTTGCTATTCCGACAAAGCAAGATCAAGTTACCCGAGTTGTTCTCATCAAAATGCTTACTCGAATGCCACTGTGATCGATAAACTTCAGCCTGCTACAAAGTACTTTGTCACTGTCGCAGCTGGTACGATTGCTGGGTATGGGCCAAGGAGTAGTGAAATCAGCAAAATCACAAATGGAGGTAAACACCGTTTTGATTAATATAAATTTTTGGAATATATTTGTTGCAGTAATGTAAAGATGACAGGAAATTGTATCTTCTCAATGGCCAAGTATTTAAAAATGTCTATTTGTGTGGCAATTGACACTATACCTTCACTCATCTAAATAATAAAATAACAAAAAGAAAATTATATGTCTAATTGTCTTTGATGCTTCAATACCGAACAAGTATTGTTATAAGGCTTTAAGTAAGTTGATTGATAGATTTTAAATGAGCTTGGAACGCCCAGAATACAAACTTGACTTTATACCGGTTGTCTGGATTAGTTTTGATACAGTTCTATACTGTAAGTTTCATCCAGACACATACGCATGTTTGTGTTTGTTGTTGAGTGTGATTATGCTACAAATGCATTGATTTTAACTTGCCCAATTAGGTCCACGTAAAACTTGACTTGAATGAAGGACATGAGTTTATAGTTTATACCGGTTTGCTGGATTAGTTTTGTTACAGTTCTATTGCAAGTTTCACGCAGAAACGTGTGCATCTTTGTGTGTTTTGTTGCGTGTAATTATGCTACAAATGCATTGATTTTAACTTGCCCAATTAGATCCACGTAAAACTTGACTTGAACATTCCGTGAGTACAATATCCATATGTATAATATACATATGTATATATAGTACAATATATAATATACATATGTATAGTAAGTATCAATATGTAGAATATGCTATTTGTTATTTTTTAGAGCGTGTGAATCCTGTCGCGACGTCTTATTCAAGTCTAAACTTAATTATAACCAAACCTGCAACGAATATCAAGTAAGTATCTGGCATGATAATTATTAGAGGCTTTAGATTTACTACGACTACGGGATTCAAACGTGCGCACGCTATAATATCGTTATAGATGCTTGTTTTACTATGATACTTTTTAAAGTCCCATTGTTAAAAATCAACTGTCCGACTTCTAGCAGAAATTGAGGCTGCGATCCTACGTCTCTTTTGCAGCGCTCTAACTGGCTGAGCTACAGAGAGACAATTGTCAAGTTGAACATGGCGTCAATTCTGATAAGAATAGTATGGCGTATCCAAAATACAAATTTTCTATAGTGGTATTCGTAATAAAATCTAAAACTCTCTAATAACTCTTTAAGGGAATCAAAAAGAGGAAAGCTAGAAAAATAGCACTAAACAATAATAATAAGGGCGGTGATTAATGCTGATCCGCTTTTGCCGTCCAAAGGATAGATTGACATCAATCAATCAAGTAATAAAGCAGTTAATATTAATATTAACTTTATTTAATAACGATGTTAAGCACATTACAGTCGCAATTTAATAAAAATACGTGCGCCTCCTTTGAGTAAAATTGGTACTGAAATATATTATGTGAACACATGTATACTGGAGGTACATGCAAGTGAGTGACATGATTGCATGAAGAATTGTTGGAATTTGTCAAACAATGAAATGTGCATTCTGTTTACGTCAACTTGACCTATGTTATAAAAGGGACCACATATTGGCTTAGCCATATTATGGCCCACTGATCTTCTGTAATCATGGGATAATTTGAATTTAGAGAAGTAATGATCATTGTGCAAGTTGCCCCGAAAATTAAAAAAGTGGAAGACATTGGAAGAAGCGATTTGAAACCTTACCAGCAAAACATAAGCGATCCCTATGTTACTGCCTATCTGAAAGCTGATGTTCTACCTCTGACATTCGTGATCGGGGATGGCATGGAATATAATTCTGAAAAACAAAGATACGCCAACCAGCCTCTAGAACAGAACTCAAGTTATATCATGTTCCTTAGATTTTTTGAATGTCAGGTAATATAATTAATATGTAAAAGCACAACCTGTGAGTTTAAACTTCGGTTAAAACTGAGTTGATAAATGAATAATTTGTTTTCTACAGGATTCATACTATTCGACAGAGTGGAGCGTCAGTATTAAAACGTTGGCAAAACCTGCAGGTAAATTTTCGTTAAGCAAGATGAAAATTAAGATGTTACAAGACAGGAACTGGTTGCAAGACATAACCTGATTGTTATGCACATCTAGTAGATATGAAGAAATGCAAAAAATATATGCTTCAATAAGAGCAACAAGGTTCTACATTTTGAGACTATAACCAAATGTAAACTGCGCATTCGTGCCAACCCAACAGTTTACTATCGGTGAAGAGAGGCAACAGCGAAAATCCTACGGGGGACAAGAGAGCATGCCACTACGTTTTTGCATGGGCATTGGTATAAATATATTAAACATCTATTGGCTGGACTAACCCCACCGTGATATTTTGAAGTAGAATATCAACCTTGAAGAAATAAAGCTTACATGTATTATCTAGTTTTTATCTCAATCAGCAAGACGGTGTCTACGCGTTTTAATATATTTCACACAAAACTGAAGAATACATGCAGTACAAATACAGTACTAAATCCTAGAGTAGAATAAACATATAGTGTAAGTTTAGGTTGGTCGAAAACACCATGCACGTATGTTTATTATTACATCAATACAATTCAAAAATCAATACACGAGGTTTCCTCCACAAACCAAGCAATTAAATCTTTAAATTTAAAATATAGGTTGAGATACACTGTGCTTTTCGATTTCCCTTTAGGCTGCTTTCTAGCAGTTCTAACGCCCGTATTCTAAAAAATCACTCACACTTACACTCATTGAGTGGAAGTTCAAGATAAGCTTCTCTCGAGTGTCATTGCTGTTTTACAATAGTTGGAGGGCTAGTGGCATACCTTACTATATGACTACTCACCTTCCAGCTATTTAAAAACAGCATTGACACTCAAGAGAAGCTCCGATTGAACCTCCACTCATTCAGTGTGAGTGTGAGCTAGCTTTTAGAAAACGGGCGTAAGCCTTTATATGTCGGTATACGCACGAAAAAGTTTATATTCTCTAAATTTTATATAATATTCGTTGTCTCAACAAATACACTTTAAATCATGCACAAAACTATTTTCTGTCTTTTTGTTCTTTTAGTTATTTCATAAGAAACTTTTAAATGGTTTTAAACTCTTTCGTGCGTGTGCGTAAGAATGCACGTACGAAAAACGACTTACTGGATACCAACCAATTAAAAAAGATATTTTTCTCATATTTTGGTATTTTCTGCAGCTCCTATGATTTCAAAAATCATTTCAACTGGCCTGAAACAGTATACCATCTCCTGGACTCAACAGCTCTCCCCAGAACACATGACTATCCTGAAGTTCTACGGAAATTTCAGTGCACCACAAGAGACCATTAAATCATTGGATATATCAAAGGAAATGAGGTCTATTACTGTTGACGTCAAGTTTGGTAAACAATATACGTTTGATATTCAAGTTGAGACGGAGGCTGGAAGAAGTGACATATCATCCGAATCATGGTTTTCTCATTCAGGTAAAATATCTGCAATTTATTTAAATATCAATAAGAGAAACAGGAGTTAATTTTACCGAGTGACTCGTGAGCTAGCTCGTCAGTGACTCGTGAGTTAGCAATTCAGGCTGTAATGAATTTCATATGTAATCTCGTATTAATGAAGAATATACGATCCATTAGACAATATATAAATATATCAAGCACACGAAACGTACACTTGTAGATATTAGAAAATACATGGATGCAGAAACCATCGCCTTGCTGATGAAGCCAATATATTTTCTGGACATGAAGTATATAAAATAGTTGTCATGGTAACACGATAATTTATTAAGAATATTTTAAAATTAAAAAATCTCCTAAAAATATCATCTCTAACTAAAAATTATCAATTTCCTAAAGATATATTATATTATATTAGGTATGTTGTTATACGTTATTTTATTATACGGCAAAGGGTGTTTTACTGAAAAATAAAACTCTCGTAAAACTCATGGAACCAGATGCGCGTATTTTCCGTATTTCACCCTTGCGAGTGTCATACGAAGTTCGAAAACTTTCCGCGATTTTCGTTGTTGTGGTTTTCAAAATACAAATGGTCTTTGGTTCGCATATAAACTGACGGAATTAACGTTGGAAACGCATGAAACGAAAACATTTAAAGACATCTTGTGATAAGTGAAATTTATTCTTGTTTTATGTTTGCACTATAATTTAATAAACACTGCTTTTATACTTGTCTTTCGCGCGCTTATTTACATGTCGTCTTTGCGAGTATTTTTGTCACTCTGAATAAGTCCATATACTGATAAACAAAACATTAAACGTTTATTTAAAGGTATTCATATAACAAAAAAGGGTAATGTATAAATATGCACTGAAAATATATGCTGTCTTTTTCATTATACGCAAGGTCAACGATCAATTTCTAAAGCTTTTTTAAAGCAAACAATACACAATACTTAATACAAACTTACCTTCATTAACGCCAGCGCCTTTGCTCCCTTCTTTTAGTCTTTGAGCTTATTTTTCTCGCAAAGTTTTTCAAATTTACAAAATGTTGCAAAAATGAAATATATTTGAAAAAAATGTTTGTTATTTCGCTGTCGTCATGCAGTCGTTATGATGCAAATTTTAAATTTGACTAATCAGCGTTCCCTATTCATGACAGTCCGCTATAATTTTGAGATCAGTGAGGATGAACACTCACGTTCGGTACACCATAGCCATGCGCCTACGATTATTGATAAACTTTAGACTTCCATAATGCTTTCCTTTCCCCGGGGGTTATAAACAGCCGTGCAAAATTAGTGTCCTCGCCCCGCGGGTGAAGCGAAGTTGGCTCGGGCTTCTTATGTGTTCAAATTACCTTTGATGGATATATTTCACCACAATCGAAAGAAGTTCAAACCACTCTCTAGGGTTTAGCTAACTCGTAGAAAGTTTAATTAACTAACTTGCGAAGATAAAAATATTTATAATAAAAATTCTGTGTTATTCAATCCTAACTTGTAGTCAAAATGGCTTAAAATTATGGCTGTCTTAATTCTTGAAAGGGAAAATCAGGCAGTTTCTCCTTACAGAATTTATTGTATTGATATTATATAACTTGAATACTTTCACCTCATAAAGTGTTCATGACACAAAATGTTGTCACCCAGTTTTTATGCACCACTTGAAAATATTGTAGAATGGCCTTAACAATGTCTTCACAGCACATATCGTTCTTGAGTTATCGGGAATTTTGTATTTTTGTGTCGTGACGTCAATAGTTGTGTTAAGATGACGAAATGTCGACAAAATGACGAAAGTCAAATAATATCTCAGAAGTCAAGCTATGAAATTAAATAAATTTTGGTACAAAGTTTAACTATTAAGCAAACATTTTTGGGATGTAGCCTATGTGCTTGTCATAGCAACACACTATTTACCAGGTCTTATTAAATTTGGTACAATTTTTTGCTTCCAACAAAAAACCTTTGAATTTTCATTCATTAATATCGATTTTATAGTAAATATAAACTATTGAACTAAATTAAATTTTCGTTACAAAAAGTCAGTGGTAGACATTAATACAATAAAAAGATAGAAACCTGGTAACTATTGTGTTGGTATGACAACCACATAAACGAAAATGTTTGCTTTGGTGCACTTACTGACTGTACCAAATCTAATTTAATTCGTTGAATCACGTCTCCGATAATAGATTTTCTTCTTTTTGCTGCCAAAGGAAGCACCGCTATGGTGACGTCATAACAAAAAAATACAAAATGCTGGATTACTTGGAAACCAACCTCGTACTCAGGGACTTACCTTCGCTTGGAAACGAGATGAGCTATGACAGAATTGTAAATGCCATTCTTCACTAGTGATGCATAAAAATTGGGCCGAAAATTTTGTGTCATGTGCATTTTAAAATTGCCTTAGGCCTATATTCACGGAAGCAAAGAATAACAACGGTATATTAAGTGTTTGTTTCATTTTTAGAGCCTTTAAAATCTCCAGAAAAAACTGGTGATGGTTACACAGTTACACTAAGAAAGCCAAAGGAAGAGCAAAAAATAAGGTAGGTTTATATGAAATAATTTTTTTATCTAGATTAATTGAATATAGCCATATACCATTGTTTTAAAGAGTTCCAATAGCACAATATTATGGTTATTCCATGTGCCTTTCACTTTAGTCTTCTGTGTGAGATGCTTCAGCAAAGGTGACTCATCTCCATGGACCATCACTTCACAACGCATGTAGACTGAATTATTTATTCTGTAGGTTTAAAATTGTTTCCTGGGTGTCTAGTAATGGCCATCTCTTATTTGTCCAATATTACGTAATACGTATACTATACTACAAGAGGAAACCAGTGGTTTTCGGTAGAGTCAAACTACAAGCATTGTTTTTTGCGAGATGTATTATGACCAGAAAATGCCATCTTACCAGATCGCTGGACAACCAACAACTTTGTCACCAGTCACGCCAATACAATTGAGAATTTGAAATATAGTATTTTTATTTGTTAAGGATTGTCATTCTAGTTATGCTTCAGCTTAAATCGATGTCAAATAAACCTCTCGCCCTTGAAATCCTCAATGTTCAAGATTCGTCTCCCTCAGACTGGAAAGCAGATAATGTCGCCTTTAAAGCTGAGGAGTTTAATATAACTGAATTCCGAGATGCTACTATGGAAATATCACTGCGAGAGATTAAAAGAAACCAACGAACAAAAAGAGATAATATTGAGGTTCATAAATTAACACCAGGTGCAACCTATAGAATCGCGCAATTGAATATAGACGAGTCTGGGGTATGTATATACTGTAGGTGCATGATACATCTGCAAAAAGTATTTTTTTATATAATTTTGACGATATTTATATTCTTTACGCTGAGTCTCTTGTGTATTTGGAACTGTCTAAAGGTAAAGGAGAGTGGGATACAATCTTCTTTTCGTGCATCTGAGAGCTGAATAATAATAGACACAGTTCGAACGCGACCGATTTAAAGGTTTACTAGGTACGACCCATGTCAAATCATAGGGCACACCTTATTTGGAAGAGTTTGCTTTTGATGGGCGAGGACAACCGGGGATCTAGTGCACGGCGAAAATGTTTGAAACAATGGAAAAAGCCAACCACATTAAGCTGGAACAGGGTAATTAACCATCAATTGATAATACCGTATCCTCGACATCCAGTAGAATATTTAATTCAGCTCTAAGGGATTGTATGGTAACCGTATCTGCCTTCGTACCTTTCACGATGAATCCAATGTAACTGTCAAAATAATTATTTGATACCAACGATATACTGAAGGTCAAAAGTCATTTATTGCTATTGAGTCAGCCATAAGGTGGATTGAATTTATATTCCTTATTTTAGAGACGTACCTGGTCATATTGGAGTGAACCATTTACGTTCACCAAAGGTAATTGGGGGATCAGTAGCGTAGCCAGCCCGACTATTTGGTCCCGCTATGCAAATATTTTCATGTTCATTGACTGTGAAAACAATCAATTTCTAAAGAAATGAATAATGATAATAATTTTGAATTTGCATAGCGGGACTAAATTGTCGGGCTGGCTACGCCACTGTGGGGGATTAATATTTAAATAAATTGCGAATTGTTGAATGGTGAACCGATGGATACGGTGAAGAGTCCAGTTGTCGAACTCTAATTACAACCTCATGTAAAGATACTAGGGAACTTGTGGTTAGAGCTCGACAACTGTACTCTGTAGCTCAGTTAGTTAGAACTCTGCACTGAAATCGAAGGACCGCAGTTTCGATTCCTGCCATAAGAAGCATAGTTGCATTTTTTGCAGCTGTTCCTGGTTAGTTCCTGGTCTAATAAATGTATATAACAGTTTCACTGGATAATTTCTATCTACAAAACCCTTAACCTATTATTGGATTAAGTGAGATACCAACAAAATCTTCATATTTAAAATAATTATTACTGTTAATATCCTCTCAGAGATAAAAAAGCTATAATACTTTACCTACGAGAAAGGCATATATTAAAATAAGTTATGCGTGTTGACGTAGTATTTGTCTGTTTGGACGACTGGATGAAAGCATTATCCAAACAGGTGCAGTATATCAGCTTTAATCGAAACGTCCCTTATTTCCTGAGAAATTGGTAATGTTGTGCGTTTGACATATACTTTAAATATCAAGCGGTCCCAAATTAAGAACTTGTGTTAAAATTGCTGCATCAGCACGATATTCAATTCCTTGTTAAACTTTGGGTTTTTTCATGTTTAGTTCGTAGGCCAGCTCCTGTATACGACATTGTAGTTACGCCATCCCAATATACAGCACGCTTGACGTGGACAATAAATGCGAGAAAGGACTCCAGTTATGTAACAAAGCTTATTATATTTCTCAACGGGACAAAATATCAAAATATATCTCGAGGAACTCAGATCGATATTAAAGGACTTGCACCGTATACTTGGTATAGAGTGGAAATTGAGACTCAAGATGGTTCTTTACAGAGAAGCAGCAAAGCGTCTAAAATTTTTAAGACTATGAATGCAGGTAAACATAGTGTATCAGAAAGGTTTGCTAAAACATGCACCTACAGTAATTCCTCTATTAAAGCATTTCGTTACTTTCTAACATTTGTTTAATTTTACGTGATTTATTCTTGATTCATTTTAATCTTGGGATAGTACACGTGTCTTGGATCTCTCGTTTGTGGCTTACTTATACGCATTATTTATTTAATGGAGTTCTTATATCATCAACGGGGTAGACCACTCTGTGAAATATTGTATATTTGCACTCCACTCAGTTCAATTACCATTGTATACAGGATTTGTTCTACTGGCCGAAAGTGTTACATTTAAGTGCAGAGTTACATATATGTTGACATACCGTGCATGACTATATAGTAATACAGGTCAAGCATGTTAATTACTGTTGAACAGATGTTGTATGTTGCTTGAAAACTTTGTTATTGACTGAAACATGCTGATCCAATATCGTACGACATTATTGGATGCAACATTGTTGTGTCTGTTTGGACAATATGTTTGATCGATAATGCTGGCCAATATGTTAGAAGAAGTTGGATCATGTTCATTTTGTTGTAATGGTTTGAATAAACGGCAATGTTCGAACAGTGGATGCAATTCGACTGGGATTTTCTTTCACTTACATATAAAATCAGATTAGCGAGAACAATAATTGTTGTCGGAATCCCACAATATTCAGCAACACGACGTAAACGCCTATAGCGTTCTAATGGGAACTAGAATTTGCTTATTTTTGAACTGGAAAAATGAAATTTGGGCTACTGGGGCTGGGAATGCCAGGCACAAAAATGAGAAAACCCATATGTCGTTATAAAGGGAATTATAGTTGGACATTTCAGACTTTAGATAAATTCAAGGAAAACGATGGACGAATAAATCGGCATTGAGCGTTTGTTTAAAAATGTCCCGAAAGGATGCATGCTATCCTGATCGTTCTACATCTCTGACCGTTGAAGTAGAATTTTGTCTAAAAACAGCTAGGAAATGGGATATAGAGGAAAAGTTACATTGGGTGGTAAATGGCATCTAGACCCCTCATTCAGAATTTTAATGTATGTTAGGGAGTGGTCATTATTGATGGGGTGGTAGGCAATTTTGTTCCCCGAGCATTCCCGTTTGCAGGTTAAGGGTGGGCATAGCTCTGGAGAATTCGAATTGATTCACGTTGAATTTCCAACGTGAGTTCTACGCATGCTCAGCAATTATTGCAAAATATAAACAAAGTATTTAGAATTTCTCGTCGAAAATTTGATACTTTTTACACTAAAATCGAATTGAAAATAGCTAAAAATTCTGGGGGAAATATGTACGAAAGCCTCGGATTGATAGGGATATATACAACTACCTGAAAAATACAAGGAGAACTTCGACGTTTCGAGAGAATTAGGCGCTTCGACTTGTCACTTGTGCTGTTGGTGTTTGTATTAGTGTTTGTATACATCGTACTTGACCTTTACTGATAAATATAATCTCCGCAAGAATGAGTATTATATATTTTTATGCTTTAAAATTTACATTTAACTCTCCTGTCAGAATTTATGGATACGTAGTATATAAAGTATAAAAGGTCAAGTACGATGTATACAAACACTATAAACAGCAGAAGTCCAAGCGCCTTCGCTCGAAACGTCGAAGTTCTCCTTGTACTTTTCAGGTAGTTGTATCCCTATCAATCCGAAGCTTTCGTACATATTTTCTTCAGAATTTCTAGTTGGTTTCAATCGATTTCAGTGTAAAAAGTATCAAATTTTCGACGAGAAATTCCAAATACTTTGTTCATATTTTGCAACAATTGCCAAGCATGCGTAGAAATCACGTTAGAAATCCAACGTACTATCTGCCGTTAGCCAATCACAGGCCTGAATCAATTCGATTTCTCCAGAGCTATGTCCACCCTTAACCGGCGAACGGGCATGCTCGGGGAACGAGATTGGGTGGTAGGAGGTTGATGATTTCGAGGAGTGTTAAAATGTTGAGTCTTGACTTGAAGAAGAGCGGCCAAAAAATAGTCTGAAAGCAGTTTGATAAATAACTAAATACAAAACAAAATAAATAATAAACAAACAAATAAACCAAAAAACTGATACATAAACAAACTTAACAAATAGAAATAATTACTCCACTATAGATATTAAAATGAACATATTGTGTTATCACATGCCAAGCTGTAAAATAAACAACTGTTGTGTCAGCCCTTACATTATTTTTCACATTTCTCGGTTTCCTTTGTTCTTATAGGGGGAATATATTAATATTCCCGTCTAATCAATTTCCCTCTAATATTCACCTGTAATGTCTTTGCACCACAAAAAATGAGATTAAACAACATCACGAAGGTAATATGGCATTAAAAATTATTTCTATTCAGACTCATTAACGCGACCTCGCAATGTGAAAAGTAAGTACGTTATTTTGAGGCACCTAGGGGATATGTGTTTATTCATACATCACATATCGCTTCGTTGCCTCAAAATAACCTATACTTAAATTTATAAAAATATAGTCCGCCAAAATAATAACGTTGGTCTTATTTCCTAAGTGCAAGGTCAATAGAAGACTTTTTGTTTCAAGTTAAAATTGCAATGTTAGAACTCAATGCTTATTTTGTTTTTAATTTATGTTTATATTTGTTAAAACGATTTACATGTGGAAAGGTTGAAATTTTTTATGAACGTGTGAAGGAGGGATTGTGAATTTCAAAAATTGCTCAAGAGAGGGGTTATGGAAAATTTTAGCTTGTGCCAAAAAAATTATCAAACTTTAATTCTACCACCCCATAACTAATGACCACTCCCTTAGTATAACAATAATAAGTGTAAACCCGGAGGCCGTCAAATTAAAGGCGAAAGCTAAACAAACTCATTGCATGCAATGCTCATGTTTTATAATGTTTTGTCTTTGAAAATCTTGCCTTGTTAACGACCGTAGTTTCAAAAAGATTAAATATGCTTTTTAATTAATTCAATCTTTCTGTTTAAGCACCCAACATCAGATTTTTGCCATTACCATACGAAGGTTACATCCAAATAAAAGATGGTTCAACTTGGAAATATGTTAAAGAAGAAAATTGGGATAAAACTCGTCAGAAAATGCTGTGTCACCACTTAGGATTTTCAGAAACGAACGCGAATGTTATTTTTATTGGTCGGTTTAGACAACGACATAACATTGCAACTGGGAACTTGATATGTTATAACACACAGCCAAATGGAACATTCTGTTATATCCATCCTGTTCCTTCTACAATAACTTCAAATGTCGACATGCCATATGCCAAATGTGAGTATTGCCTGCAGGGACGTCGTGAAGACATCAACATTGGGGGTGTCGTCATGTTTAGACCAACTTTTTCTAGAATTATGACCAAGTAGTAGAAATGTTTCCCGACGACGGGGGGGGGGAGGGGTTGTCAAAAAATTTTCCGGACTAACATAAGCAAAGCTTCAAATATTAGTTTAAATCAAAATAAGCAAAGTTCGCAATTACTTCCTCGCAAACATGACCAAAGCTTAGAAATTGTTAAAATTCTGCGAACGATTCATAACTTTGACCATCTTTTATCTCAAACTTTGACCAAATTTTACCAACTTTGACCTTCAATTTTAAGCAAATATTAGTTCTATTTTGACCAACTTTGACCGTTTTGAATTATTTTTTGGGGGGGGTGTTACACCCCTCCACATCCCCCTGTAGAGACGTCCCTGATTACTTGGGATAAACGGGCGTAAAACCAGTTCAAGTTACTTGTGGTCGAGGTCTTACTTACACGTTCTGTAGTGTACTGAGATCCCTAATAGTACACCAACAGCTAATTCGGAAGTTTACTATACATGTTTCATATAAATCGATTATCCTTCTCTGTTTAAATTAAAGAAAACTCTGAGTATATGTACTGTTGCAAAGCTACAGATCTGAAAGCCTTGACCTTCAGCAGTGTTAATAATTATTATAAATTATATTTATCGAAATGCGAACATATTGTTGAAAGACTGCACCACAATGTACCTACATTACCTGAACATATAGGAAGATGTATTTTCTTGCACGATTCGAGCTGGGGATTTCTCCCTGGCCATAATGCAGCCGATTGCAGTGCATTCGTTAATATACTTCCCTTTTTGTAACTGCAGGCAAGATATGTGACAAACCATTACTCCATGAACGGCAGAGAAAGTATTTTCTGGAAGTATTTTTTGCGGCAGACAAAGTATTTTCTGGCAGTGGTGGTTCCGAATCTTATCAGAATGCGAGATTTACTAAAGATGGCTGGTGTGCTTCCATGTCTGGCGCGTACCTTTTACTCGACCTTCAAAAAGAGTATCACATAACACAGATTGTGGTAATGGGTAATAAAGATCAGACAAAGTGGAGTGAGTCATATTCCTTAAAATACAGTCATGACAAAACTTATAAAAATAGCAAAAAGGTATTTATTATTGTAATAAAATACTCTCGTAGAAAAACTGTATACAATAGGTATAAAATAAGAAATTAACATAATTCTTAAAGATTTACCGTAATTCTCTATTAATTAAGTCCCAAGAGATTTCTCTTTCAGATTCTTATACTAGACAAGGGGGGACGCGGTTTAACCGCGGGTCGACGCGGTTTAATCTAGGTTCGACCTCGGGCCGATCTCGGTTCGACCTCGGGTCAACCACGGTTCGCCCGCGGTTGAACCTCGGTTCGTTCGAGGTTCAACCGCGGTTGTGTGGCCGAAGTGATGCTTGATCGAAATTCACGACGGAACCCGAAGGCAGCACGACTTTGCCGAGTGCTATACTGTATTTTAAAAATCAGAATCAACAAGATTTTTGCGATTTTAAATGTATTCACAAGGTTGGAATGCAATACGGTGGGAAAGCTTTGTATTCTCGAAGACGTGTTGTGTCTATCTTATTACTCAATCCTCAATATCGAGCTATATCATGCATGCATTTATAATCCCCGAGCCGACGGCGCGAAGCGCCGTGGGAGGGTATTAATTCTCCCCGGCTATTTACACCCGGGGAAACGAAAGCATTAGCGAATTCAAAAGTTCATCAATAATTGCGGGCGTGGATGACCAACAATGTTGGTGTGTTGGGTGGGTGGTCATCCTCACTGATCTCAAAAATATGGCAGACTATCATGAGTAGCGGACACTATTTGATCCAATTTAATGTTTGCATTATAACGAGTGCATGACGGCAGCGAAATAGCAAACATTTCTTGATTTGATGATTGATAAATTTCTTGCAAATATATTTCATTTTTACTCGCATATTTGCAAGATTTTGTAAATTTTAGAAGCTTTCTCAGAAAGAAAGAAAGGGCGAAAGAATCGGCTAAAAGAAGCGAGCAAACTTTAACGAAGGTAAGTTTGTTTTAAATATCGATTTTATAATTGTTTTAAAACCCGACGGCCTTTGCGTATATGAAACAACTAAACAAGACAGCATTTAATTTCAGTGTACCTTTAATATTGATTCCCGTTTTTATTATATTGAATTTTTTAAATAAAAAAGAAAGCAAAGTTATTTGCATGCGAGAATTTGAAATCATTTTATTGGAAACTCAAAATTTATCGATAAAGCCATTTAATTGTTAAAGGCGGTTTAGTTTTAGGCTATAAAGAACACTTTAAAAGGGGGGGGGCTGAATAGGTTTTCGGATCGTCGGATTTCACAGAAAAAATTGGTCGGATTTCGGATCTGGCGAATATTTTTCACGGATTTTCGGATCTTATTACAGCGGATTGCGGATTTATCTAATATTTTGGCTCGGATTGTGGATTTAGCGTGAAATTTAGTTCGGATCCCGAATTGTGACTTCATAGTAGAGGTTCTAGCGGATTCAAATTTAGAAAAAAATGGCTTATGGAGATAAATTTGAAGAAAACACAAATAATAATATTTGAAAAAGAAAGACAAGAAAAGCAAGAACAATTTTTAATCTTGGAAATCGGAACATAAAAATCGTACAGGATACTGTTAGCTAGGAGTCAAACTAAATCACAATGGTAATTTTACTCTAGTTCTAAAACAACTTGCGAAAAAGCCTCGCATGCTTTATACGGTGTAAGAAGACAGTTCAATTTCAGTCATCTCAATCTCAAATATGCCAGTAAAATATTTTATTCAATTATAACTCCCATCCTACTATAGAACTCGGAAGTATGGGGACATATACGTGAAAAATGATTTCAACAATTGGGATAAATCACCAATTGAAAAAGTTCATTTTAATTTCTGTAAAGTTTACCTCGCTCTCAGTAGGAAAGCAAGTAACATTGCCTCCAGAGCTGAGCTTGGAAAACTCCCTCTCATCATTAGCGTATTCAAACGGTCTTCAAATAGATCACTCACTTAAACTCACTTCCCCAAACAACCATTGCGAAGCAAGCTTTTCTAATCTCGAAAGATCTGCACTCCAAGCAGAAAATGTTTTTTTACGGAATGCAATCGATACCATCAAAAATTTAAATCCAACTGAAGAAATCCTTAATTTAGAAGCGGTAACGACTGAACATATTAAAACTATTACCAAAAACCTTGAGGAAAAATACTTAAGATTTTGGAAACTTAAACTTGAAAATTCATCCAAACTTACTTTCTACTCAACATTCAAAACGGACCGAAAACTGCTTAGTATTTATAGAAGATCCATACGAAAGAAAATGTCTTTCAAGACTTAGAGTCAGCAACCATAACCTCCAAATTGAGATCGGGCGTTATCAAAATATACCGCTTGAAGAACGCTTATGTAAAGTCTGCAACTGAGAGGTGGAAAATGAAACCCTTCTCCTCCTCTGTTGCAAAGCCTGTGAGCAATCTCGTGCAAACCTTCGAAGTTCATTAGAGGATGCTTCATCTGACGAGAGTAATATAAACTCCCAAACTGTATCAGCGGACCTAATAAAGTCAACTGATAGTGAAATCATAACCAAACTTTCAAAATTTGTTTATTCATGTTTCAAATAAAGACTTAAATACCTTGAAAACAGGAATGCGGATTAGCAAAGGTTGTAATAATCACCTTATTTGTAAATAGCATACTTGTTCTTCTCTTAATTCTTCTTAATATTGTATTAGTCTATTATAAATAATTCCACAAATAATAATCTGTAATAGTCCTAGTTTATCATAGTTTCTTCTATATGTTGTTTGTAATGCTTTAGCAACACTGTAAATTTATGGTCATGCTGATAAAGCTATTAATTACCTGTCCTTAGTAGTCTATCATAACTGCAACCTCTTCTATTAGTGCATTGCCACCGATGCTGTCTTTTAATATACTTCATCCCTTGAATGCACGTACGTGCTTTTATCTATTTCGAAGTACTCCAACATATATTTTATTACACTAATTTATTATAACACCAATTTTTAAGTCAATTAATAGATGTGATGAGCATAAATGTGTTTCTTTCGTGTGAAAGAGGCGGTTAGGGGAGGGGAGAAAATTTTTGAAACAAGGGGGGGGGGGTTAATAAATCACCGGAACCAAAATGTTTTATTTTAAGAAAAGGAATTTATGTAAACCATGTTATTTGGCCGGACATTTAGGTCATGTAATTTAATTATCTATGAAGGGATCTTGGGTTAAGCATTTGGGATTTGAAGCATACAATATACAGTTAAATCAATTCAATTTATTAAGGTCGTTCTCTAAAGATCAAAACAAACACGTGCACCCGCAAAACGTCGACCTCGAAACGCGAAAAGCAAAGTGGGCATGTATATATTATTACGAGATTAGTTGTGCATTCATGATTGCAGGAAAGTTGCTATGTTTTGCTAATAAAGTATACGCCTAGTATTTATAATTAATTCCAAGACGAACAAACCATTTCCCACAAACAATTTTCTTTAAAATTCAAAACTTGAAAACCAGATGAATTTGACTTTTGCTATTGAATTTGATTAGCCAAGCAAGTAAAATTCGAAAAAGGTGAATATCACAGGAATTCATGAATTAAAAATCCTTTTTTTACACAAACCTAACTACGGAGTTCCGGAGTATGAATTACAAATAATAATTGGGAATACTCGTGCTTTTCGTGCTTATAGGCCAACGTTTTTTCCCGGTTTTAAGTTCTGACTTTGAAAGAATAACCTCAATTCAATAAGCTGCATAAGACTTATAAATTCACTTAACACAGACACAAATGCAGGTCCATGCAAAATTATGACATCGATTTCTTGGGTTTTTTTTCAGATAAAAGGAAACCAGAACGGTTACCAAGCATCTGTAACACAACTTGATATTTATAATGTTAGATACATGAAAATACAATCAACTGGAAATCCAAAGTTTTGTCTTAGAATAGAGCTCTGCGGAGAAGGTAAGGTCTTGCACGATGCCGGGAATCACTTTTTACGACATCAGTTTATGCGCACAAAATTTTCCTACTTGAACGTTTTCGTCTCATTTTGTCGTATAATCACAGTTTCAAGTGTTAAAATGCATATAACATAATTATTTTTATAACCAATATTTATGCATCACTTGAAAGTCCTGAAAATAATGAAGAATAGCCTCAACAATTTATTCACAGCTCATTACATTCCCAAGTTTTTGTGTTACATATGACGTCACTAGTTTTGTATAAGATGCCAGCAGAAAGAGAAATTCTAATATCTCAGAAACGATTCCACGAAATAAATTAAATAAAATTTAGCACAGTTAGTGAAAATCAACAAATCGTTGACGAGGCTAACGTCTTTAAATAAAGTTTACATACATACACACATACATACTAGTTGCTAGGATTCCAGATCCTGTTTTTATCCTAATTTTTCAAATACTTTGCTCCCAACAAAAAAGAAAGAATTTTAACATAATCTCATTTAATTTGGTTGAATCGCTTCCGAGATATTTGACATCCTTCTCTTTGCTGCCATCATAAGCACAATCAGTGATGTCATAACACAAAACAACATACTGTAATGCACAATAACTTTGGAATAAGATGAGCAGTGAATACTTTTTAAGGCCATTCTTAATCACTTTCGAGGTACTTTCAAGTGATGAATAAAAATTGAGGTAAAAAAATTCATGTTATGTGCACTTTGAGAGACATGGCTAGAAATCCAACACAGTATGGCGGAAAAGCATCCCTGCAGAGGGCAAAATAAATAAATTCAAAATGGGGACACTGAATAGGATTGATGGAGAAAATGTAATGTGTTTTTTTTTCATGCCCTTACAAATTCTCACATGTGCACGTCTAATACGTCAGTGTATAACACACATATTAACTAGAACAAATTTTGCAACAAATTGATAAGGTTAAACATATACACGGAATACGACATGAAAATCGACATAAACACTGAACACGACATGAAATTCGAAGCAATACCATGGTTTCTTGTCGCCATTTTAGAACTGTTGTTATGGTTTTCTTGGTGTTTACCGCTGCAATGTTTTTTTAATCGTGGATGCATAAATTAAAGCGCAAATACGCGGTAAAATTTGAAATTTGGCTTGGTAAATATGCATTAACTATGGGAATTAACTTTTGCAATTTACAAATTATTGATAAAGAGGCAATTTATAAATAAATATAGGGACACCGGAACTGGGGAGCAGGAGGGGCGGCCGCCCCCGTTGCCCTTTACCAGGAGGCGCAAGGGGGGTAAAGGTGCCCTTTCAATTTAAAGGATTGGCTTGGCGAAATAGCGAATTGTCAGATATGTTAGTGCGATTCTTTTGTGAATTTGCTTCAGAAAACGCAAGAAATTCAGAAATCGAGCTTCAAGAATAGCACAATCGCTTGGTGGAGAACCACCACACACCCCTAACATCCAATAAATAGAAAACATGATTAGGCGAAGTTCAACTCCCGATGTTTTGCAAACATCTCTTAGTATATATCAATTCAAAAGTGCCATTTCACGAAAATCTCCCCCCCCCCCCTACGTTGAGTTGTAGTATTAAAAATGTCTGATATTTCGCCATTATAGATTGCTGTTTGCCATGGAAATTGGAAATTGCAAGCCCTTCGTTAGCACATGCTACTAAAGCTCAACGTACACAGCATATAATTTTGGCTTTAGATATTCATAATATTTGCTGCGTTTAGTCCTGCATGTTCACGCTATCATAATCTGCTGTGCTTAACTCGTTCAATTCCTTTTACAAACGAACCGCCATGTTTAATACCGGGTAAATAATTTATGCAAATCTGCATTTTATGTAATTCTGAGCCTGCAGGTAAAACCGCATACTGTATCGATTTTCTAGCCATGTTTCAGAAACTGTTAAATTTTTATACATTTATTAGACCTAAGCATGAGCAGTTTCGAAAAATGAAACAATTGGCTCTCTGGCAGGAAAAGAATTTCTCTCCCAAATCCCGATATTTACGCATTACCCAAAATTTTTATCGAAGAGAAATATAACAAGACGCCTGCTCAGGCGTTCACACTGACCTGAAAATGACGACATACGTGCTATGGTGCAATAGACAAGGATGGTCAAATCGTGAACGGCAAACGCAAAGCGTGAAGGGCTAAAAGCATGTATGGCGTGATCCTCAGGAGATGTATTCGTAATGCCCAATGAAACACAAGTATTACTCAGAAATACAAACGTTATCCATAAATTCAAATGGTCTCTGAACATGAGATGCGCTAACGCAAACAACAATGGTTACATTCCGTGAGTCAGTATATTAAACGTATAAAATTCGAAAACTCAGCCATCCAGATATTGCATTTCCAGGGACGTGGCACGAAAAAAGCCCAACCTGCCAACTTGAAAGGAAAAGCAGAGTAGAATAAAACCAAAATCCACAGAAAAACGCGCTAAAATTCGTTGACAAATGAATAAATTGTTTGAGACTGAAATAGCACTCATTGAATGGTCGCTATTGATCTGTATAATAACCTGGAACGACTGGAACACTGGAAACCGAGCCTGCGATGCGCTAACGCAAACACGATTTCTCGACGACAAAAACCCCCCAGGAAAAATAGATATTTTGGGATTTAAGACACTTGACCTTTCAGGTCAGTGTAATTATAAACTAGAAATACATGCATGCTGCAACCCTTCGCTTATAGTTTCCAAACATTGATTTAAAATAAAGTATTAACGAAACCCTTGTTTGGATCAGGCCATCCAGACACGGAAATTTAAATTAAAGTGAAAGTTTTTTAAAGGGAAATTTTAACACGGAAAGTTGTTATTTTATGATACAATTACTTTATGGTTTCCGAGTTGGATGGCGTGATCCAAACTCGAGTTAAATAAAGCGCACAAAATCACTCGCCTTAGGCTCGTGACTCGCGCGCTTTTCTTAACTCTCGCAACATTCCCGCGTGTTTGGATCAGGCCATCCAAACACGGAAACCATAAAGTAATTGTATAGGAATAGGCCAAGACTTTAGTCTTGCAGCATCGCGTTGCTCGTCGACTAAGTTGTTGGCATAGCAACACGACTATTTTAATTTTTTTAAAAACTTATTTTTTGTATAAGGGACCGGTCATTATTTATGGTGGGGGGTGGCACCGAAGAGAAATGTTTTTCGTGGCAAAAACTTTGCTGACCCAACCATTAAAAAGACAAACATTTGATTACCCAACCTCAAATATCAATTAAAAAATAAATACCCACCCCTGGCCAAAAACTTTACAAAAGGATACCATTACACGATACCAGCACATGTAGTTTCTTTGGAGACACCATTTCTCTCCGGACAAATCGGAAAATGATAAGATAGTGACTGTGATTGATTCACATTTTGGATTTACATGACTGTTGACATTGCTTTTTATATAGTCTTCAATATTTGAGTCATGCTTTGGAAATGACAATAATTTTTTTTATTACCCAACACTTGAGTTGTTTTGTTTTTCATTTACTCAACCTTTTACTTACTCAAATTTTGTTTACCCAACCCTTTTCTCTTCGGTGCCACCCTCCGCCATAAATAATGGCCGGTCCCTAAAATGGAAAAGATAGTTAAAGTTGGTACTTTTAAGGTTACAGAACACCTTTGAGTGTTAATTTTGCCTAAAATTTTTTTATTTGTTTCCATGAAAGCATTAGACTAGTTCTACTATCTGACCAAGTTTGGACGAAAAATGTTGAAAACGCTCAGAGTTATTTAATAAAATACATTTCGCTTGCTATAAGAAAACATTGAAAATGTAATATTCAAATTCAATTTTCTCCCGAAGAATTTAACGGCAATTACTGATTTTTAAACGAGTTGTGCTCCTGCGGGTTTTAACGAATTTTTCTCAAAGTTTCACAGGATATAGCTAAAGGCTTCAGTTTCAAAATGGTGTTCGGCTTTGTTCTAATTTTGGATATTTTAATAATAAGGAGCAATTCACACAAACGATTCAGAAATATATTGCAGTTGTCAAAGAAATCGCTATATCAGCGGAATGACGAAATAAACAAACATTTCCGAACACAATATTTTACTGTATAAAAATGATATTTTCTTAAATATATCTTAAAACCAGCAGGAACATAACTCAAAAGCGTAAAGGTACCGCGACTTAAGGTTTTCCTGAATAATTCTTACATTATTTTATTGTTTGTCAATTTTACAACTTTAACATATTTTGGCTAACATTTGGTGAAAATTTGATGAAAATTGGACTGATTTTGAGCGCGCAGTAGCGATTTTCCACAAAACGCCAAAAAGGGGTTCCTGTAACCTTAACTATACAAAAATAAATTTCCAAAATATATACTCAAGGTATGTTATTTTGCATTTTATGAGCTTTGATTTAATGTAAAATTTTTGCAGAACAAATGAGTGCGCACTAATTAGGTTTATTCGCAGTTTCAAATAGAAGAGCTATAGTACTCAATCATTGATCCAACATAATCCATTTTGAGCCAACAATTAAAAAAAATATGCCTAAACCAAAATCCATTATGAAACAACAAAATGTGTTAGTTAAGGATGTAGGTGTTTTCTGTGGCCGAGTTAATGGTAACTATGATAACATCATTTCAAATGTTTCTGCAAATTAAGAAACTTATTTTCAATCTCCGACTTATATAATGTAAATTTGTTCTGAAACATTCCATAAAATTTCTCTAGACGTTAACGTTTTGAAGTGTTTTTCGATTGTCTAATTGAACAATATTTTTCTTCATATCTTTTTAAAAATCTTGCCATAAGAATCCGCCTTAATATTGAAATTAGTGAAAGGTCCCCCCACGAAACACAGTGATGCGCCCTTGATCGTCGATGGACTTTCCTACTTCGCTAGGTTTCCTTCCCCCGTGCGAAAATAGCAGACGAAATTAGTATCACCGCTAAGCGCTTTGCACGGGAACACAATTTTACATCAGAGATGTATATGAGTTTAAAAATATTCAAGGCTGTCTGAAACATTTTTGTTCCCGGTTTTGTAATCATGGTAATTTAATTGCTTCCCACCTGCTAATCGTGGTCTTGTTTTTATTGTAGCCCAGAAACCAGCTCCTGTAGATAGAATTCAAGTAACATCTTCAACTACCTGGGCACTAGTGACATCGGCCATAAGTATAGCACCAGAGAATTCCAGCTTTATAACACATTACTATATTTATCGCGACGGAAAATATCTAAAGGCAATAGATAGACAGAACTATGGAATTAAGTTCAACCTTACTGGACTCAAGCCGTCTACTGGATATAAAGTTGGAATTGTGACCGCAGATAGCTCTTCACAGACAAGCAACATAAAATATGAAGATTTTACGACCACACATTAACAGGTAAATATAGCCTGAGTGGGGCACGTGAGTTACTGAATATATAATCTTTTCTGTATGGCACATATTTAACAATCAGACTGTTCGTTCTCGTTGTATATGAACAGTCGACGAGATGTACATGCAGAAACGACTCGGCTATCAGCCATATACGACAAGAGCGAATGGTAGGCTATATCTGTATATATCTATATCCATTAACTACAGCAATTATAATAATAATTATTCTTCCCTTGGAGCATAGACGGATTTTCTGAGGGGTGCAGGGGGTGCTACCCCCCCCAAACTAAATTTAACTAAATTGTCG